TCCTCTTTTACTTTCGCCTAAAGGAAAAATTCAAATGTTTTAATTTCATGCAACAAATAATTAAAGTGTGTCTTTGCAATTGCCAACACTTATATCCGATATATATAGAAAGGAAGATGTACGGTTCCGTTACGGGATCATTCCATCGGATTCGTAACCGTTTGATCAATATATTATCTCAGACGATTATATGATGATTTAACGATTACGAATCTCGACGGAATGGTTCCGTAATGGAACCTTAACATTTTACCATATAGAAAACCCTACCGTCCCATTATTTACAATTTTTTAGTATTATTAATATAATTAAATAATATTAATAAATCATTCTTGCGCAGCGCATAAATTTTAATTTACTATTTGTTCATTCACTCACTTAATTTTAACTAACAACTTGCAATCATTTTTCCTACTTTTAGGTTAAATAAACTTTAATATACTTTTTAAAATATTATTTTAATTTTTAAAATTCTCAAATCATACTATTTTTTTTTTTCAAAATTAAATATAATTAAAACAAAATCAGTTAAAAACCAATCGAATCCATCCAATCACACCCTTGAAGTTTGTATTATATTAATATAAATAACCATGTATCTGATAGATTGGATTATTAAGCTAGTGTTATGATAAGTGGATTTACCACTAATAAATATTATCTCTTCATTATTGTATTGTATAGAAGTGTGTGCCACTTTGCCTATAAAAGGCAAGATATGTTGTGTATTTGTTGTAGGAAAGTGAAGTAAAAGAAAGAAAGAAAGTCTGTTACAGTTTATATCCGGTTTTTATACATTGTGTTCTATATATTCCCCGTATTTCATAACACGTTATCAGTATGAACGCTCTACCCGGTCAAGAAAGGTAGGATATATATACATATTAGTATTATTCTTGACAAGTTAGGCTCTGCCACAGTCAAGGATATATATACATATTGAGTCAAGGATATATATACATATTGCTATTATTTTTGACAAGTTAGGCTCTGCCACAGTCATAAATATATATATATTACTATTATTCTTGACAAGTTAGGCTCTGCCACAGT